CCCCCAAGAATTTAAAACTACTTTCACCCCTGTAGGATACGAATAGCTGAGACAGTGAGGAAAACTACAGGATGAATGCAGAAGAGAAACTAACTAAACCTCTGCACAGAATGGGACCAAAGACAAGAACTCAGCTTATGGAAACTGTGGCTGAAAATAAAACTCAGAAACAAGAAACAATGACGGCGATCAGCGGACCGAGGTTAACAAAATACCAGAGGAACTCCGGTTTATCCATGGAAACTGAAGAAATATAAAGCAGATATAAAAGTATAGTTATTCATGACAGCATTATTATATTCCACATTTTGTTTAACCTGCTAATTTCTCTTCTTAGGGTTTTTGTTTTGTTGTCACAGTTTAAGAGTCTAAGGAAAGTGAAAGTACTATATTGACATTGAACTGTAAAATATCTCATCACACCAAAACAAACTCATCCACAGCAAACCCAGATTTAGAATCATTCACATATTAAATTAAAATGGTTGTTAGATGGTGTAGAGCGACAGTCACTGGTACATGAGATGAGTAGTAAAGGAGAGAGAAACAACCGCCCTGTGGTAAACCAGCTGATTGGAGAAACTATGGAGTGAAAATGGTCTCAAAATATCTGTGCGTGTGTAATACTGGATTTGTAAAACTTAAAAATAAAACAAATCTTCTCCTACACCTATACATGTTGAAAAAGTACACACAAATCACCTGGTGCGCACACACAAAACTGCATTTGCAGACAGATCCGGTTACGAGTGCACAACTATTTTTGAGACTATTTTCACTCCATAAGAAACAGCCGTTGGCTTTCGCACATTGAGATCTAATCTGTTGGTAAAACCAACCAAACCACAAGACCAAGTTTAGACTGGCTGAGAAGCTCAACAGATTAAGATCTGGCTGGGAAACCCAAAAATATACAAAAAGTCGAGAAATAAGAGCTGAGCAGGGATTTTGGCTATTGGTGCATTCTGGCACATTAATAGTGACTGTCACACTGCACTGAGTTAAAGAGAACGCTTTGAAAAACCTGTTCCCCTCCTGACCTGTGGGGGCACTGCACCAGGAACCACTGAAGGAAACGACACAGAAGACACTGAGCAACACAAAATGTCAACAACAATGGAGCAGCATCAGATTTTAAGAGTCGGCAGATTTTTCTTTAGTCTTTGGCTAAAGACCACAAGACATTTCTGCCACTCTCTCCAGACTAGCATGTTTGTTTTGGTTGCATTTACTCAGAATGCCACTTCCTGGTTTTGGAGTGGTCTCCAGTTTGTTTGGTGTTCACATATTCAATCGAACCGCATCAGAGTTCACTTCATCTGAACAGAGACCGAGGTTTGTAGGTGAACCAGGGTTTGCTTTTTATCAGATTCATTTAAACCTCCACAAATGAACCTGCTGGAGTTCAATTAAAGGTTTCCAGGTGTTGGAAACCCTGGAAAAAGTTTTTTTCCAGGTGTTGAACCAGATGTGTGACACTGGGGAACCGTAACTACCAGCTACTATGACACATAGTTCAAAAAGTAATAATGGGTAACTAGTTACTGGTCATTAAAACGATTTTTAATTAACTATGTATTATCCAATGTTTAATTGATAAATCAGTGACAGACTTCTTCCAAACAATTAAACCGTCTCATTACCAATATGAGAATTCTTTAAACATTTTCTGAAAAACTGAGTTTAAATTGTTTTGGTGTTGTATATCCATATGGTGTTGTGATATATATATATTCAAGAAGAAGTTTTTTAAAGAATTGGAAAGAAAAGAAGTACTAAATGTAAAATATGTTGTGCTGTCTCCAAATGTTTCCTCTAAGAGTTAAAAGCTGTAAACACAAACATTGACTCATGTTCTGCAGCAGACCTGAAGTATTTAAGGAGGATGTTTAAATGTCTGTGTGGTTTTCACAACAGCACCAGAAACTAAATCTACCAACAGGTAGAGAAGAAGAGGTTAAAAACATCTCTTGTCACAGCTGCAGACAATTTCTGCACGTGGTCTATGGTGCGAACGAAACCAATGGCCCAGTTCTGTGGTATCTGTGACAGAAGTAGAGAAAGCCACGGAGTTAAAAGAAACGGACAGGCTCAGTTTCACGGAATAGGGTGTTAAGAAATTCATGATAAAAGGGGAACAACCAAAACCTGTTGATCGGCTAAATACTCCTTTAAAACGGTAGAAATGCCAGGCACAACTTTGAGGTTTGAGTAAAAGCTTAAACCATGAAGACTGTCAGAGGCAGGCGGTGTAGAAATTCATTTGCTGCTTGTATTTGGAATCTTTGGGCCATAATTTATAAGATTGAAGGCGAGTTAAAACTTAAACTGACCAAGAGTTCGAGAGATTCAGTTCATCTCTACAGCTGCCTGTCCTGCTGTCACTTGTTAAGAGATTAAGTCAGGAGCTACACTGATTGAAGTCTCACCCCGTAACCAGTAGGAGATGTCTTACTTGCTATTATCATTCAGATTCTAGGAAACTAAGGAACTGGTCACAAGAAACGTAGGATAATTGGTATGGTAGACCATGAACTCTCAACCCAGTTCAGTGTTTACACATGCATGTAAAACTGGCTGCAAACAGATGCACAGTTTTACAGCCGTGCATCTTTGAAGCACATACAGCAATAAACCAGCTGACCAAATGTGCTAGAGCTTCACTTTGGTTGCTAGGTAACGGCACAGTGACTGTCTAAGGTGAGACCACAAACAATGGCTGGGTGATTTTTAAATGTTTGGCTGCTTTTAGAAACAGTTGAGACAGAAAATTTGAGAGCAAATTTAAAAATTCAGGGTAACAACAAATTGGTCAAGTTGTGTCAAACTTTCTGAACAAAGCGGGTTTGAACTGGATCCATGGGAAGCCTGGAGTATCAACTGCTGAGGTGATGCGGGTTGTTGGAGGACCATAATACTGCCACAGGGTTTTATTGGCTGCTGTTGATGTGTTACACACTCAGAAGAACTTTCTCACAATGGCTGGTTCTCGGTCTCACCTTAGGACTCCATAGTACTTCAACAGCAAAAACCAAAGGAGCCATTTCAGTCAAAATAACCTAAAATAACTGAACAAGTCGCATGTATACTGGAGTAGATTAAAGGTGAGAAAATAAGCCAATGAATGAGAAGTTGGAGCTTTTATCCGTTGGAAACTTTCGATAAATGTGTGACAGGATGTGGGATACACAAAAGGTAACTCTTTAGTGAGTCTTGAAAGTAAAGTAGCATCATAATGTTGATACTGTTAAATCGTTTTAAACACTTCTGCATCTAAGCCCAGAACCAAAATGTGTAGGAAAAAACCAGAAGACAAAAACACTTAAAAAGTACCTTGTGGTTGGTGAAAACAGGTCAGAGGGTGGTGGAGCAAACTGTGGCTAACATGTTCCCACCTGCAGCTTTTACAGTAAAACTGACAGTCTGGTGTCAGGAGAGCTTAGACTCATGTTTTACTTCGAGTCGTGACAATTACCACTTATGTTGCAATTCATCTAGGACAGATTATTAAAGTCTGGACCCTCATATAAAAGTATTTCTCAGCTGTTTTAAATCCTCTGAGTCAGTGATGGATTAAAAACATTCTTGGTTTTAACATTTTATTTGTTCACCATGTGATTTTTATGTGTGAGGTTCCTCAAGGCTCTGTTCTTGGCCCACTTTTATTTACAGTTACATTCAATAGATTTTAATATTTAAAAGTTAATTTATTTCAGAAAGTTAATTCGCATAGTGAAACTTTAGATTGATTAAGCACTTTTGTGGCTTCATTTCTAACTGCAATTATTTCCAGTTTAAAGTTAATGAATGACATTTACGCATCAGACATAAAAAACATTTTAAATAAAGAAATGTATGAATCTATTTCAAGAAATTTGACAACATATACACTTGAATATAAATGTACCAGCTACCTGGCCATCTCTCACTAGCTCATCTTACCACCACATGACCGCAGCCTCTTACCGTCTTTCAGTAAATGTGTCATCAATGTGCAGGTGAGTCAACATTTCCAAATGTTTTCTTTCCTATTTGTTTGGGGTCTAAAATGTAGCCTGGGTGCTTTGGATCAGCAACTGAATTTTCAGCATTAAGACATTAAACTCAGTATATCCCTTCAGCTTTCCTCATATCTCCATGATAAAGCACCGATAAACACTTCAAACATCACATGAAGGCCCAGAGTTTCAGTTTCATTGGGGGTTTTTTCCTCTAGATTTTGCAAACTCCGGCCCTGACAAATATGTGTAGCTTCAACTTTTAACCAACTACCGTATTTTCCAGACTATAAGCCGCAGATTTCTCTGCTGCTCCAGGTTTTCCACAGCGATGCAGCAGCAGCAGACGGGGGCGGACAGCCAGCATTTGAGTCATAACAGGTCAGTTAAATATCACATTTATTACGGTGGAAAAAGAAAAAGTTGCCGAGTTTAGATTTAACTGAACTGATTATGAGGGTGTACGAGCTTGAAGAGAAAAATCTCCTGTCTGCTACTAGCATGTGCTAAATGAAAAAGAGCGCATTCTTCTTCTTTAGATTTCAATGGCAGCTTGCATCCATTATTGTTGCACTACTGCCACCTACTGGATCCTAATATCCATACCTCAAATTCTCATATTGATCCCAGTATTTAAAAAATGAAAAATCTTCTTTTTTCCCCCTCAATGTTATTTAACTGATCAACAACATTCTCAAATTTCAATCCCCTATTAAAACCTAATTCCGTTTTAATGGGCAATTTCTTCTTTTATTTCCAATTTTGACTTCCAATGATTCACTTCCTGCTAAAGAGCCCCCTGGTGGTTGAAGAAAAATCCACATATAAGCCGCACCGGCCTATAAGCCGCAAGGTTTGAAGCTTAGGAAAAAAGTAGCGGTTTATAGTCTGGAAAATACGGTAAATTTAATCGAGTGACTCTCAAAGGGGTAGGAGGTTTGGGTTACATTAAAGGGGGGCAGTCTTATATTAAATTAAAAAAAACAGAAACCTGAGAAAGTTTAAAGTAATGTTTTCCCATTTTTATTCACATAATAATTTTAAACTTTATTACCAAAGATTGTTGCCACTGTTTGAAGTCATCTTAAAAGTCGGGGCCATTTTGTTGAAACAGGAACGAAATGCAGAAGCTGACAAAAAGGAAAACTTACGAGTTTAAAATGGTAAGAGGACGGCATCAAAACTGGAGGAGCAAAACAGAAAAATCCAGGAAGAAATCATGGAAAATAAGATTCACGACTGAGGAAAGGCTGGAGAATGACACTGGATCCAGGTGAGTCTGATCGAAAGAAAACCTGAGGAGGAAACTAACCAACAAACATGGAGTTCAACTAAGACTCAAAATGAAAAATTTTAAAAGTCTCACATTTATACAACAGAAAAAAGCAAATGACACAGAGGGAAGAACATAAGAAATAAGAAACTGAACACAAAAGAATGATTCTTCTAGCAGTAATAATGAACAAAACAGAAAAAAATATGGCAAGACCTTTTGGCAATAATAAAGCCCAGAAACAGAAAGAAAACTATCACAAATACCCACAGTCATTTAATTTATAGATTTTGTTACAAATGTAGTAAAGTAGGTTAAAAGAAAAAAAAAAGACAAAGTAAGTAGGTGGAGCATTGATTAGTTGGAAAACTATGTGATTTCTTTTGGCAGGACGTGGTAAATGTCTGCAACCTCAACTGTAGTGAGTTTTAAAGTTTCATCTAAACCCAAAACCAAATCGTGAGAGAAAAAGATGAAAAACTGAGTGCAGCAGTGGGAACATGAAGCTTGTGTGAAATGTTGCAGCTGAAAACAGAAACAATCATAAAATACAACATGTATGGTTGCAACATGAGGAAATGGGGTCATTTTTACCACAGTCAGGGTTTCAAACATTTTCATGTGGCAACTAATGCCAAGGTAAACAAACATTATGAAAACCTGAACAATATTCTTACATCATTCCATAAACCCATCAAGCCATGGAGGTTCTTGATTGGTCAGTAAGCACTCATTGCAATAGCTGGCACTCTGGCGCGGTCGTGATGATTGATCTGACTAATCATGTTAGTGGAGATGATCAAGCCCATCATCTGGAAGAACCAGTGGACAGACAGTTGGTCATAAGAGACAGGAGAACAAAAAGATGGTAAAAAAAACAGAAAATGACCAAAACTTACAGCAATGAAGGCAAATCCAAAATTGCTCCCAATGGCAACGTTGAACCAAAGCTCCAAGTCCAAGTCACATCTCTCCACAGCTGCACCACAATGCTGCAGAAGAGAAGGTGGGTTAAGTTACAGCTGCAGGCTGTAAACGTGTGTCCAGAGCAAGAACCGTCATTACCAGAGAAACCTGCATTGCTTTAGTGAGGCTGCTTTGTGTTCTTGACAGAAATGAATGGACTAATTTCACTGATCAGTGCCTGGATGCACCACACTGAGGTCTGTAGCCGTCAGACTGGTTTCTGCGAGTTAACGACCCCCAGCAGTCAGGAATCACTACGCCTGCTCCACCAACTGAACCTCGCAGCTTCCCAGACAGACCCGTTTTCTGAACTCTGTCCAATTTCCTGCACCACATTAACTTTTTAGTAATTACCTGGTTTTTTAAAACAATGGCAGCAACTCCAAAGATGAGCATGAGGACCATTCCAATCCCCATGAAAACTGCAAACTGCACAGAAAACAATATACATGATCAAACTGTCAACTTCATTTTTAATCATTTAGTTTATATTTGTGTATTAAGTTGTACATACAGCAGTGAGGCAGCATTTATTCTCAGTGCGTGCAGCGTGGCTCCCAAGTGTGGAGATCCCAACAACACCGATGGCAAAAACCCAAGCATAGATCGTGCTCTGGTTGTCCACTCCTCCCATCTGATCCAAGAGAGCAAAAACACAAACGGTGCAGCAAACTGATTACTACAGGACATGACACACATCCATTTCTCTCTCTGAACGTTCGCAGACAGGTTCCGTCTTTCGTGTGGAGAAACTTCCCTTTTCCAATCATTTTTAAACTGAATTGTTTTTCTCTTTTACCTGATGCCCATAGGTCATGGCACGTCCTAAACTGTACATCATCCAGATCCCGAGGCACTGAAGAAAAAAGGCAAGGAAAGATTTATTCAACATCATTCATATAAAAACACTGAAAAATGTATACATAAAGTCTCTCCAGGCTGCATCATTAGCGCTGTGTGAAGTTTGACAGGATGGATTGGAACCACTTTAGGTTCATGTCCAAATAACCTGATTTCACATTTCACAGCATAAAATTAACATTTATGGTTGATCCTTAAATATTTTTAAAATGGCTGTTTTCTCACATATTTTTAATTTCTGCATTGAAACACTAGAGAGCAAAATGAAACTAAAACCTCAAAGGAAAATGGGCATAAAACGATTTAATTAACGAGTCCATCACCTTTAACTGCAGTAAAATTTAAAGTAACAGTTTAGTAATTACAGTCTGGACAGAATTGCTGATGTTGGAAAATTATTAATTATCAAGAATATACAGTAACAGATTAAAATGTATTGACATTAAAAAAAATACATTTCTGACAAATATGCAAATATTAACAAAATGACCACAAGTGAACAGTTCGCTAGTTTTATTTCCAATTACTGCTTTTTATAAAGCATTTTTGAAATGATTTTAAACGTAAAATATTTTACCTGCTGGCCTCACAAAGTTTCTCTTGTTAATGAATATTATAAAAACCTTAATTGGCTTTGGAAAGAACATTACCTCGAAATTTTCTGGAAATATAATCAATTACTTAAAAAATTCTGAAAATTATTTTACTTACTGTAAACAAGGAATTGAAAATGATGAACACAACTTTCAGGCATCCATTAATTTTCCCCATCTTTTCTGTTTTACTTTGACTAGACAGTTGAAAGACAGAACAGAACTGTGCAGAGATGAAGGCGAGTTTGTCGTCTGCAGAGAATCTGAACAGTGAGAGAAATGTTCCAGCATATAAAGCAAATCTGCAGCCAGTCAGTAAAACTCGTCAGTGATTAGCATGAGGAAGTACCTACTGAAAGCCAGTCTCATGATTTGCGCAGTGACGGTGGTGAGGCCGAATCGCTTTGGACCCAGGTTGCAGTGATGAAGGATATTTAATGATGAAAAAAGGTTCCAAAACACTGGCAGCACAGCAGAGAGGAGGCCAAGGCTCACACTGGTAGCAACAGGTTAAACAAATGGACAGGAGCAGACGACTTACAGTACGACACTACAAACGAACAGCGACAAGACAAGGACCCGACAACAGACAAAGGCAACAGGTGGACTTAAATACACAGGAGGTCATTACTGGGAACGACACACAGAGGAAACAATCAAGGGGGAAAGAGACGCGACATCACAGAGACTCACTGGACAGAACCTGAAGTAAACGGAGAAAACCCCAAATCAACACTATTTTTAATCTTTGCCATTTTTGTTTTTACAATTACAAAAACATATTTTTCATGTTCACTGTATTTTTTTATTGAAAATTCAAATGTCAAAACTTCTTTTAACTTCTTAATATTCAATATATTCTTTTTTCGTTTGCATTAAAGCAATAAAACATCTCTTTCATGCGTTTCCTGGTATAATTTATGTTAACCTTTATAAAGATTTAGCTGATGTTTAGCCTAATCGTATCTTGATGCAATGAGAAGAAGCACAGCTGGCCTTTTGCTATGGACAGGAGAGCAAAGACACTTTATAAGAATAAAAGTTCAAAGGTTAGTTCATACAACAGTTTATGGCTTAGATTAAGACGTGGAGGAATGAGCAAACTGCAGGAAGACGGGCTGACAGCAGAGCAGATGCAAAGTGGCCGTTTCTCTTCAGCACTGAAGGCAGAGGAGCTCGATTATGAACATTTGTTCTCCAAATGTACTTCTTTTGTATTGGTGACGTTCTGAAATTTAATAAAACATTATGTGCTGCTTCTAAATGTTTTCTCAAAGGGTTTAAAGCTGTAAAGAGCAAAATGAATCTGGTAAATGATGCAGTCACATTATTTCTGAACGTCGTTATGGTCACAACAAAACCAGTGACCTAATTTTATGGTAGCTTCACCAAGAAGTACAAAAAGTCAGTTTCACAGAAAAATGCTCATGAGAAATGTATGGGAAAGGGGCTCAACCAAAAACCTGTCCACTCCTTTAAACTGGTTACGATTTGAGTTAAAGCTAAAGCTGCGCATCAATGTGACCTTTCTGCTTGGTGAAACAAGTTCCTAGGAGATTCTAACTATTTGTGATTTTACTGGATTATTTAAGACCAACTGAAAACTTATGCTGGACAAAATGAGCAAAGCAGAAAATGGGCGGAGTCGACAAACCACAACAAAAACAACAGATGTCCAACAAATCTGCTCGGCTTCTTCACGTCCATCATTTCATTTCTGTTTATCAGAAGACTTAAAGCTGCACTGTGTAACTTTTTTTTTAAACTTTTTGTTAAAACTGTCACCTTATCGTCACAGTTTGCTGCAAGACAGATAGTCTGTTAAGACTGATCTCCTCCACCTTCTTCCTGAGCTGCCATTACCATCTGAAGAAATGCACCAAAAAACAATCAGAGCCAGGAGGCGGGGCTTAGCGCTGTAAATTACTTCGTGTAAGCACTGCTAAATGTGCCAACAGTGGAGAAGCAACTTACTTTTCCAGAAAAACCTTTTATCCACTGTCATCAGTGGTTATGCTAACTAGCCTTAGCATTCACATCAGGCTATGCTAGCAGAAATGTTGGACTTTTTACAATCCAATTACAGAACAAACAAAAAGTTTCCAGAAGTCAATCAATATAAAATCGTAGTGAAGGAAAATAACTTTGATCGTGAATCATTTTTGATCACTAAATGCATTTCTTCCAATTATTTTTATAATGTTCTTGTTTGTAAACATTGATGCCACTCCAGATAAATGAGGACCTAAAACATTAAATTACTATTGTTTGGCTCTATATAATAAATAAAACTGATTTATTGTTCTTCACATATGGATGCAATCATATGCATATTTACAAAACTCAGAGGAATATGATCTGAAAATAACTTTAAGGACAGAAATTTAAAAAAAAATTATCCGTTTGAATCCATTACATAAACCAAAATAATTTAGAAAAACTGATTTTTATTTGGCAATATGAATAAACTGAATTTAACTTTTTAATGTGCAAATAAAGACATGCTTTCCAAGACTAATGAATTGTAACCAAAACACGAAATATTTCTGTCTGTTGTGGGTTTTTGGTTGTTAGGGATTTTTGAGTTATTTTTATACATCATAAATTTATTATTACCTTAGCTCAGCGGTTCTCAACGTGGGCGGTAGCGCCCCCCAGGGGGCGTTCAGAGGACGGCAGGGGGCGCTGGGATTTATTTGGGGGACGTTTGGTCGAAGGTAAATTTTACACCTTAAATGCACAACAATACCAGTTAAGACTTTGAGCAACTTGGTAAAAGTGTATTGTGTAACATTAAATCATGCCTGGCTGCAGCTGCATCGATGGCAGCTCCTCTTCTTCTTCTATTCAGTGTTTGTAGCTTGTAGCTCCGCTCCTGCTACTAGAAGCTTCACCGCATCGGTTCAGCGTCTCACCGGCTGATGACTGATTCACTTAGTCTGCCGTCTGATTTTCAGATATTTTATGTTTTATTGAAGTTTTGGCAGTTCTGTGATCATGTCAAAGCAGCAACTTATATTAAAAAGTGTTTTATTTCCGTCTGGATGCTGCCCGCTTCCATGGAAGGACAACAGAAAATCGCTCTGATTACATGTAATCGGTATCACACCGTGAAGTTAGTTTCAAGTTGGATATTCGATATTCGAGCTCCGGGGATTAAGCGGAGTTTAGCTCAAGGTTGATCCGATTCATGAACGCTAATGTCGGCCAGCGGTTCTCCATCGCTCCCGGCCCAAGCTCCGCGGAGTAACCGACGTTTAGCTGAAAGTTGATCCGATTTCGGAACTCTACTCTCGGCCAGCGGTTCTCTATCGCTCCTGGCCGCAGCGCCCGAGGTTCACTTAGGGACTATCAACAAATTACTGAACCCAACATTCCTGTCAAAGAAATGTAATGTTTTCTTCAATAGCTTCCAGGTCATTTGACCTAATGACTCAAAATCACTTTGAAATAATTCTAATAGTCCCTAGAGATGAGGCACAGACATTTGTTTTCCATTTTAAATCATTTTCAATTTTTTATGAATTTTTTTTCACCAAAATTGAGTGTTTTTCTTCAATAGCTTCCAGGTCATGTGACCTAATGACTCAAAATCACTTTGAAATAATTATAATAGTCCCTTTAATTGAGGCACAGACATTTGATTTCCATTTTTAGCCATTTTCCATTTTTTAGGAATTTTTTTCATCAAAATTGAGTGTTTTTCTTCAATAGCTTCCAGGTCATGTGACCTATTGATTCAAAATCACTTTGAAATAATTGTAATAGTTCCTATAGATGAGGTACAGACATTTGTTTTCCATTTTGAGCCATTTTCCATTTTTAAATAATTTTTTTCACCAAAATTGAGTGTTTTTCTTCAATAGCTTCCAGGTCATGTGACCTAATGACTCAAAATCACTTTGAAATAATTATAATAGTCCCTTTAATTGAGGCACAGACATTTGTTTTCCATTTTAAATCATTTTCCATTTTTTAGCAATTTTTTTCATCAAAATTGAGTGTTTTTCTTCAATAGCTTCCAGGTCATGTGACCTAATGACTCAAAATCACTTTGAAATAATTATAATAGTCCCTTTAATTGAGGCACAGACATTTGATTTCCATTTTAAATCATTTTCCATTTTTTATTAATTTTTTTCATCAAAATTGAGTGTTTTTCTTCAATAGATTCCAGGTCATGTGACCTAATGACTCAAAATCACTTTGAAATAATTATAATAGTCCCTTTAATTGAGGCACAGACATTTGATTTCCATTTTAAATCATTTTCCATTTTTTATTAATTTTTTTCGTCAAAATTTAGGGTTTTTCTTCAATAGCTTCCAGGTCATGTGACCTAATGACTCAAAATCACTTTGAAATAATTATAATAGTCCCTTTAATTGAGGCACAGACATTTGATTTCCATTTTA